CCCCTTCTTTTTTTTGAAAAATATGGTCATGTGACCAACTTTTGAAAAATATTTTCCACGAAAAAAAAGATCAATCAAACCCTCAAAAGTAGGAACTTGATTGAAAAAATGATAATTTTCATAATAAATAAAGTCAATCAAACACACCCTTAAAGTATGTAATATAGAAAGATTGCATGAAAAGCTAAATTATAAGAACTTGAACTAATTTTTTAACAAGATTAACTTTTTAAGATTAAACTTCAAATCTTTGCACTCAAAAATCGAAACTAGTTACGATTATTTTGAAGTTAATACCCTACTTTCCAATATATCGCTAGCTGTTAGGTGCTTATATTCCATAACTGCAACAGATGAACCTCCAATGTTAATAATTTGAACCATTTGGGTCAGACAAACATCATTCGAGGAGGAATCTATATTTCAATATCAATCAAATAAACCCTTCAGTCTAGTAAAGGAGATGAAAGGAGGAATTCACTATCAACCTAAACCTAGTGAAGATACAATGAAATTCCAAACTTATTAATAATTCCAATACTTTGATTACAGAAGAAATGAGAAAATCAAAACTGACCTCCAACTAACTACAAGGAGCCAGAGATCGGTAAAAATGGATTAGGCAATTAACTGAGCCATTTACAAAATAAGTGAATAAAAGAATGGATGAAGATTTTGAGTGTTCTATCATTCAACTGTCAGATTATGATCCAGTAAGGGCAGCTTCCACTTCCTATAAAACCTTAGTTAGCTACAGGAATAGGAGTCCTCGGACTAGGCAATCCCATGTATGAAACCCGTGGGGAAAGTCGAATCTTAGGACTTGGTCGAGGTGATGGGATTGGACCATTGTAGTTGAGAGGTCCATAAGCCACCCGAGGTGAAAGGTTAACTTGTTCAAGTGCTCGGAATTGTAACTCAGCTGGGTATTCCCGAACACATCCAATGCGTGGTCCAGCACCACTAGTCCATTTGCAGGACATGTGCTTAGACAAGTTGAACACCGGCTTATCCTTTTGATCGCAAGATGTGATTTCTTCTTCCCTGGTCAAACCATCGACTGCGCATGTGCTAGTATTTTTTGATAGTTCGGCTTCAGAAGTGGATCTTTGAAGCGATTCCTCGGAATGATCCTTGTCCGAAGGAAGGTAATCATCATCAGCTGCACACCTCTGAGCAAAAGAGAAACGGCCAAGTGTTAGACAAAATTCGTTAAAAGACGAGATTAGTATTGGTAATATGATTAGTTTAGAAAATAGATTAATGAAGGATGTACATTTGCAACAATTACCTTTACATTAACAAGATCTACACAGTGCTCCTCCAGGAAGCTTATGAATTCCCTGAAGTTCTCTTCAGTTGGGTGGTAGTGCCCACTGTATGGCCAAATTGCCTGCAAGGACATCACCAAATCATCAAACTCAAATCTGAGAAGAAGCACACGGTTGATCTGTTTTTGAAACATAAAAAATTGCATGTATTCTGGTTCTGTATGAATATTTACCTCAAGAACTCCGCTATGAACAATTAATCTTCCAGCAGCCGTGATGGCCCCACCAGCTAGAAAACTCGAATGCTGGAAGAGGCCTTTTTTCTTCTGCCCAACATACAAAATTCTTGTCGTGCTAAGAACGAATATCCATTTTGAACCCTCAGTGGTTTCCACAACGTCACCACTTTGTTTGTACACGAGCTTTCCATCTTTTATGACGACTTCATATGATTCTCTCTCGTTCTGGTAGAGAAAAAAGTAGATCACAAGTCAACTTCACAGCTCACACGCAACATAAAAAAATAACTTCACACGTGTAATATCCGTTCACATGAATATTATATGCCTGCAATAACTTGAACTTACTGGTGCTAGATATTTGATGCATTGACGTTGCAATC